TCTGCCACCGCCGCCCGGGGATCGGCTCCATGGCCCGGGACGCTCGGGGGAGGCTCCGCGGCCCCGGCCCGGCCGCGCCGCCGCTCCCGGAGCTGGCGCAAGGGACGCCGGGGCGCTCGCGGCTGCCGCCTCCCGGCCGGAGCCGGGGGACACGGGCGGGACCCCGGGACACGGACAGGACCCCGGGACAGGAGCAGGAGCCTCGGGCAGGGCCAGATCCCGGGGCTGGGTCCCAATGCCTGGCACCGCCACGCCTGAGAGAGGTCACCTCCCCCCTCCCCGGGCTGCGCCCCCCGCTCCGTGTGAGCTTCAGCAGCTTCTGGGGGTGGGTTCAGGGCACGCCGCGGCTCCGTGCTGGGATCTGCTCATCCCGAAAGCCGCAAGTCCCTGTCCCGGACTGCTGCCGGTGCTGGGGGCTGTCTCGCCTCCGCCTGGCCCCGCGAGGGATGCTCCGGCCATGGTCCCACACCGTGGCAAAGGGCTGTGCCCCTGCAGCCCAAACGCAGCCGCCGAGAAGGGCTCAGCCGGCCGATGGGATTTAGCCAGGGCTTCTTTGTGCTGCTGGGAGCGTGACCCCAGCCCATGCTGCAAGCACTGCTCCTTGTCCTGGTCCAGCGAGGCATCTGCTTTCCTGCTTTTCTGGCCAAACCAGGCTCCAGCAGCCAGGTGAGGAATGTGGGTGTGATGCTACAGGGCAGCCTTCCCCTGCAGCTCGTCCTGCCCTGGCCCAGAGTGCAGCAGGAGGAGGAACGCAGGGCTGGAGAGGTGCAGCTCTGCAGGGACATCCATCTCCTGTGCTGCTCAAAGCGACTCGGCATGTGCAGCAAGGGGACAGGGGCATATTGAGGGAGGTTTCACAGAGGCCAGAGGTGTTTTCCCTAAGTCTGTGTTGGCTTGTGCTCAGGTCAGAGCCTTCCCAGCCCCGGAGAGGTGCTTGCTGCTGAGGAGCTGCTTACTTTGGCCTCACCCGAGAGGCCTCGGCCCGGGGCAAAGCAGCCTGAACAGTGCCCTGTTTGTGCTGTGGGAAGGACCATTCACGGCCCTGCTGTCACAGCAGCAACAGGCCAAAGAGCTGCCGGTTGTTTTCACCCCAGAGCCTGCCACAGGAGACTCTCCAAACAGATCCCACCTCATCCAGATACGTGCAGAGCGGCAGGTAACACCCACACTGCCACTGTGCCTTTGGGGGGGGCTCAGGTTGGGCCACACCACAGTGACATCTGAAAAGTGCCACCTCCAGCAGTATCACTGCACTTGCTCGGCAGGACAGAAGCAGCTGCTCGCCCTGTGCAGGTACCCCATGCCAAGCAGGCTCCAAGCCAGGATGGAGCTGGACTCAGTTTTAGCTGCCCTCCCTGAAAGCCCCCAGCCCCACAGTTTGCAGAGAGCCATGCACGTGCCTCCATGTGCACCAGGCAGCGCCCAGGGGGACAGGGAGTGCTGCCAGCTCCTGTGACTGCTGGCACTGCCTTGGTGCCCAGGGCCTGGGAACTTGAGATTTTGAACGAAATGTCCTTCTCCCAAAGTCATGGAGTAAAGCTGGGGTGTGCAAGAGGAAAGCTGGGAGGGCAGAGTGCCATTGTGCTGCTCTGAGAAGTGCCAGGACCACCGCAGAAGAGGAATGCCAGCTCCCATGGGCAGGGGCAGGGCAATGCTGTGCTCTCGCTGTGGCTGGTGACAGCGGTTTGCTGTCACCTGGCCCTGGGCTCTGGTGCACATCTGTGATGCTTTGGGGACCAAGAAGAGCAGGCTGGGCTGGAGCATGAGGCTGCTTCCACATGCTCAGGTCCACGCAGAAACCCCAGTGGGGAGGACAGAGGTGAGGGGTACTTGGTGTGCCCTTGCAAACTCCTCTGCTGTGGGCCAGCAAGCGCCCTTTGGAGGCAGGGAGGAGTGGGAGGCTGGGGCTGGGCAGTGACTCACAGAGCTCCTGAGCCATGCTGGGTGATGCCAGCAAAGCAAAACCCCTGTGGGAGATGCCAGCACAGCTCCCCACGGGGTGCCCACCCGGACCAGGGGATCTCTCTGGTGCTGGCACCACAGGGCTCGGCACCCACTTGGTGAGAGCCCAGCAGGGTCTGGGACGGAGCAGCTGTCACTGCTGTGCTGGCTCGGTGTCCCTGGGAGGGGACAGCTGTGAGTGCCACGTGTGATGGCACCGCCCACGGTGCGAAGGGCAGCTCAGCCCTGCCCCGGTGGCCCAAACTTTGCCGCAGGGCAGTGACACTCCTGCCTGCACAACTGTCCCCACGGGATCCGCCACGTCACCGTCACCCTGCTGCTCGGAGGGGACCTTGTGCCATGGAGTCATCCCTCAGCCCTCCTGGGAGCTCTCCTGGCAGGGATAAGCAATAGTTAAGGTCAAGCATACAAAAGTCCTGTGTGAGCATGGAAATTCCTGCTCTGGGTTCGGGGCCACAAGACCTCCCTCACCTCACAGTTAGGTGTCCCCAAGTGCCACTGGCCTCTGGAGAGGCTGTAGGATGGTGAGTGCTTGGAGCCCCTCTGCTGAAAAATGGCAGGGATGAGGAGCTGGGTGCCATGGCACTACAAACTGGGTGTGCTGAGGCTTGGCTCTGCCCTGCCCTTAGCAAAGGGACCTCACTGAAGATTTGTTTAGTGTCTGTCGCCTCCAAATGTTGGAATACACAGCTAAAGTTGTTTGGAAGGAAGCTGGAAAGGTGACAGGCTGGGACTGAAATAGCTGGGATTGATCTGCACCTCCGCTGGAGATATTTGAGTATCAAAAGCATGGGAGGCACTGCATCCCCACCACTGCTGTGTCCGATTCCCCTCGGGACGGGACCATCGCTTGTGCTGCAGAAATCAGCTTCAAAATAACTGAGCAGCACACTCTGCTAAGGGTCCCTGTCCCTGCAGGGATGTCACAGCACAGCTATGGATCCTTGGGCCTGGTGTCTCTGCCAAGCCGTCCCCCTTTGACCCTGGAGCCCAACCCTCCCTCCACAGGAATGTTTTTCAGGGAGGGGGAAGGTTGGCGCAGCTCCAGCTGCTGCGTTTTTTCCATGTCCAGAGATCATCTCCTGCCTTAAAAGGCCCCAGGACACAGGCTGTGCCTGCTCTCTTGCAATCACCTCTTACAGGATTGTTTGGATTCCCAGCACAGACTGGGATGACGCCAACCCATGGGGGGATACTGGGGCAGACAGGGCTGGTTGCCTTGGGAGCCCTGCAGGACCTGGACATGGAGGAGTCTGGTGCTGCTCCAGCCCTCCCAGGCATCTCCCTTCCCTGTGTGCAGCTCAGATTTCCTGAGCTGAGATGAGCCCAAGGCTGCTGGAGAAACCCTGCTCAGAGCTGGGTAGAGCAGTCCAGGAAACTGGGATTGGGTCTGGACTCAGGGCACTGTTTGGGATTTGCTGAGCCTCTTGCAGGGGAAGGCTGAGGATGTGGGGCAGGAGAGATGTGATGTGGAAAGACACATGCCTGCAGGGATGTGACCTCTGGAACACACAGCACGTTGGGGGGGGCTGTGAATCTGAGCTCCCTCGCTCCTGGCATTCCCTGACGGTCAGCATGGATCCCTGCAGCCCTCTGGCAAAACACCCTCCCTACCACCCACTCTGGGCTCTGGAAAAAGGGACAAGGCAGCCCAGCCAGGGCCTGGCCAGCTCCAGGGCAGTGGGTCAGCAGGGCCTGTTTTGTAAGAGAACTCCACCAGGGTCAAGCTGTCACCTAGTAAAGATGATGTTTTTCAATCTGCTTTAAAAAAAGAAAACCCCGAGGAAACTGCAGCCAAAAATGACATCAGCAATGTGTTCTGCCAGTTTCAGGGTGCTCCAGGGTGGGATGAGTCCAAACTTCAGCTGCTCAGGTAAGCTCAGCTCAACCTTCAGCTGCACATGGCATGTCTCTAACCCAGAGATGCAGGGAGGAAACCAGACCTGGGGGATAAAATAATAAAACCTGCCTGTAGGACCTGAGCACGGGTTGTCATAGAAGCTGGAAGGTGAAGACTGAGATTTGGGAACAAGGAGGGTCTTAGGGTCCACACAGGTGTCTGTCTCCTGGCAGAGCAGATCTGGGGCTCCAAAACAAAGCTTTGCCAAGTGGTTTCTCACTGTTCCCCCTTATTTAGCCCTAAATGTGTGCAGTAGGGATGGGATGTGAACTGCTGACCCAGCTCTTCCACAGCTGGTGGAAAGGCATCAAGAGCTGCAGGTGGCAAAACACTGAAAAACCCAACTTTTACCCCAGAGGGTGAAAGCAATGTCCCCTCAAGGGGGTGGTGGCTGGAGCCACAGGGCAGCACCCAGCACCAACCTGCCCCAGCCTGAGCCCCCTACAGCAGCCACTTCCCTCCCCTTGCAGCTCTGGGACACAGAGTGTGAGGGGACCCAGAGCTTCTAACAAGGTTTTTAGTTTCTGCCATGGAGATATTTTTGTTCTGTAAATGGGGAGGGGGATATTGGATGAAACCGTGTATGCAAATGCTGTTGGTTTTTCTAGGAAGTGTAGCTGGGGAAAAAGTTGGTGTGCACAGGTCAAAAAGAGTTTGCAACTCCCTGTCTTGGCCTGGTGTGCTGCAAGAGGATCCTCTGTGCTCACCTTCCCATTTGCCTAGTAAAGTAAAGAAGCCTTTGTTCAAACCCAGCATGGCCTGAGTCTGGATACAGCGATTTCCCGGGAGATATTCACAGCAGGAGCCCCCCCTGCCCTCTTCCCTTGAGCATCTCCCTGGAGCTCCAAGCAGGAGCCCACGTGAGAGCAGCGATGTCGGGGCTGAGGGGTGTTTTTCACACATGCAGTGCCTCTCCCTGCAACACGAGCTCGTCCCGGGAGCGGGTGCCTGTTCCCCTGGAGCATGTGAGTCCCTGAGGAGTGACACTCCTGCTGCCAGCCACCCCCTGGCCCCTCTCCCTGTTTTTAAATATGTGGCAGGGAGGGGATGGAGCCAGGTGGGAATTCTGTTTATTTTAGTGGTCGGCAGAAAGGGGAAGGGAAGCTGCTGAGCCTGTGGCGCTCCCTGTGTGTGCCTGGCCAGCCCTGTGGGTCCCTCATCCCCACCTCTGGAATCTGGGAGGTGCTGATGCTCCTGTGTGGGCTGTGCCACTCTCCCATGCTCCTGGCACTGCTGCCCAGGGCTCTGACCACCCTGCAGCCCCGGGGATGTGTGGGGGTGGGTCTCAGGTTTGGGTTTGTGCTGAGAAAGCCACAGATGCTCTGGCCTGCTGGACCAAGTGCCTGTGGCATCCCTCACCGTGGCCTTGATTTGCACAGGGCCATAGAGGAAACCAGCCCTGGCCTGCACCAGGTGCTTTCCCAGCCCTTCCCCTCAGCCCAGGGGGAGAGGGTGAAGAAGGAAGGGGAAGCTTCGGCCCACGCTGTCTTCCCAGAAATAAAGGCTAAAAAAACCCTTTATGCTTGCATCGCAAAGTTTTGCCGTTTCTCAGTTTCTGCAGTGAAATTTGATTTTTCTTTTCCCAGGGGGGCTCAAACAGCAGCTGCTGGGAAGCACCAAGGCACCCACCATGGTTCACCCCACGTGGTTTCCATCACGAGAGCAAGAGTTAATTTGGATTCTCTGTGTCTCAGCTGTCAGCAGCCTTTGGACTCTCCCCATTCCATCAGCCCCATCAGATGGCAAGAGAAGCTCCCCGGTGGCTGAGACCATGTTTGTCTTCTCCAGCACCAGGGCTCTGCACGGCTGTCACAGCATTGCCAAGGTGCTGCTGAAGTTGTGCCTGGAACACTTGCCAGCCAGGCTAGGGTAAGGTGGATCCCTTCCCCAGGAAGCCATTTTCCATCTGCTCCCAAGCACTGGCTGTAAGAAAGAGTGTTTGCTGTCATGCAGAGGCTCTGTGGTTCTGCAGCAGGGCCAGGAGATGCTGCAGCTTCCTGCTGTACCTGCCTGGGCACCCCTGCTGGAGCAATCGTTTTATCTCCTATTTCTAGGCAAGGTTACAATTTAGCCAGTGAAATGAGAAACCGAAATACAAATGCTCTCAAAAGTGACATTCCCACCTCAATCCATTTTCTTCATCTTACACTGCAGGTTTTGAACCTCTAAAGCGGGGGCTCAGAGCCAGGTGGACCTGTGTCCTGCAGGAGCTGCCCTAGGGGCTGTCACAGGTGCTGCTGGCTCCATCCTGCTTTTGGGAGCCGTGGAACTGTGCCAGCCGTGCCGGGATTGAGGGCTCTTTGGGGCAGGGCTGGCTGGAGATCTGAGCTCTCCTGCACCAGGTCACGCAGCCCCAGCCGGGTGTCACCGTATCCCTGCGTGCCAAGAGCTGCCCGGCGCCAGCCCACCTTCATTAACCCTGAGGGCGTTCATTACCCCGCAGCATTCCCGGTGACCCCGCCCGCGGGAATGTCCCGTCGGATCAGCCGGTCACTGTGACCGTGGGAATCTCTCGGCATCTCCCGGGATGTGAAGGAGTGTGGGAGTGGGAATCAGAGCCCGTGCGGGGGGATGTCCACATTTGGGACCACAGAAGCACAGTCCACGTGTCACAGGCGGTTTGCTGAGTGATGAAAGTGCAATTACCTGCTCAGCTGGAGGTGGAGTTGCTCCTGTTTGATTTTCCAAGGAAAATGTTTCCAACCTTTATTTTGTGCGCAGCTTTCCTCTCGGCGCGAATCGCAGAAGATATAAAAGAAAATGAGGGTTGTTTTACAAGTTTTGTGCTGGTTTGCTGGATTCTCTCCTGCAAGTGGTTAACAGTTCATCTGAAGTCAGAGGAAGGTCTCTGAAGCAATCTTGCAATTTACAGCTTTTCCTTTACCAAGAAACGGTCAGGAAATTAAACAGGAAATTGTGTCTGGAAGGAACAAAAGTTGTGTTGTCAGAACCTGCTTATGAAAGATTTACTTTATTTTAACCAGTAAGGAGCCAAGATCAATAGTCAGAAGAGGAAGGAGTTTGTGTGAATTAAATCACACGTGGGGGGAAAAAAAAAAAAAAGAAAAAAGGCAACACTTGGGAAAACAAGAAGCCTTTGTAAAGAGCAGATAGGGATGAATGGGAGAGAAGGGTTTGCCACTGCAGCAAACAAATGCTGCAAAGTGCTGAAAGGCAAAGGTCCAGGGTGTACCCCAGAATCAGGTGTCTCTAAAAAGTCAGCCCTAAAATGCCCAAATCTTTGGGGGATACTCTACAACCAAGCCTGTTGGAGGGTTGGAGTGCAATGGACAAGCATTGCCCCATTGCTGTGCAGGTCAAACAGCACCACCTTCTCAGGAAGTGACCCTTGGGTGGCCTCCTCCAGCTTTCCCAACCCAGGGTGCCAAGCACCACAGCCCACGTTTTATTCCTGCCCAGGGGATGCAGGGTGAGCTCAAATCCAGCCCCAGAGCTTCACAGGAACTGCACCAGCTCGCTTCGTCCTGGGGTTTTCCATGAGAAATTTGGCCAAGAGGAAGCGAAAAAAACCCTGTTACAAAGGTGCAGCGCTTTTTGAGAATCCCACACAAATATTTGCTCCCTGGTAACCCCACAGGCCACTGGGTTTTGGGTTAATTAGGGGCTCTAGTTGGGAGATTGGGTAATCTGTCATTTTTTGACTCATATTGCTCATCAGTGGTTGAGAAACAAGCTTAGCAAGCGCTGGTATGTGGGTCTGGCAGAGGACAGGACATCAAGCCCCTGTCTGGCTGATCCAGGCACTTCTGGGGGATGCTTGTACCTGGTGGGCACTGACTCAAAGGGGCTTTTTCTCCAGGACCCCAGCACTGCGAAGCTTCCCCTGAAATGATGTGTCCTCTGTGACAGCTCTTGGGCCGTGTTTGGTCTAAGCTGTGCTTACTCCCCAGCTTGGAACGGATCACAGCCTGTGGGAGCTGCCCCGGAGCCTTCTCCAGTCCCCGGGGAGAGGAACTGCTGCAGGAATTCCCGTCCCAGGAGGGAACACAAAGGAGGCTGACAACGGAGACAGGCTCAGCCATACCCCGTAGCAGCGCTGAGGCCAAGAGCTCTGGCTGGCAGTACTCAGCAATGGGGTAATGAATGTTTACCATCTCTTTCATCAGCCAGATCAGCAGTTGTTTGAATTTCTAGTGCTTCATGGATGGATGCTCTGATCCTGGCCGTCCACAACAGGCACTTTGTGGCCAAGGCTGTGTTGTTGGGATGGACAAATGCCCCGAAGGGGAGAGGCGCTCCCGGACCTGGTTCAAATGGCAGGGCTGCTTCCACTCCTCTGGGAATTTCAGAAGGGCAGAGTGCCAGGTGTTAACGAAGGCACCAAGTTACAGGGTAAAAAATCAGAGAAAGAACACACACAAAGACTTTCCAGGGGTTTCCACTGCTGGCTGACTCCAGGCACGTCATCCCGCAGCTCTGTAAGGGCCGGGTCATGAGGCTGGAGCTGCTCTGGGGAAAACAGCAGCTGTGACCTGCTGCTGCTGGGATTGCCGTGATTCACACCCTCCCCGCGGGCTGAGCTGTCCTTCCTCGTTCAGAGTCCTGACATGTGCACGTTTCCAGCGTGGCACACTCCTGACTCACCCACCTGCACCTTGCAGGGCTCCCTGGGCCGGGCCGTGTCGCTCGACCCCGCTCCCCGGCACGGAGAACCCCGATCCTCAGGGTGTTTTTGGCAGGAGTGAAGCGCAAGGAAGGTTTTCCTGTCTCAGTGTGAAGACCAAAGCTGTAGATGGGCGGATTTGGGCCGGATGATGCACAAAACGCCTCATGTTTTGGCAACAACTGATGTGTTCTTCTCCAGGTCCCGTGCAAGCGGAGGCTCCTCTCTTCTGTCCCAGATGCTACCTGGCCTGTATTCCCTGAGCGTTTCCCAGGAGCACACCCTGCTCGGCCCCTGCTCCTACGATGGAAATAAATGTACGCTGACACACCTCGGGCGCCCCCATGAGCACGGGGTGAAGCCGAGCCCCGCTGCCCCTCACGGACCCCTCAGGGGGCCCGCAAAATGGCGCCCGGAGACGCGCGCTTCGGTCCCGTCCGGCTCGGAACTACAACTCCCGGCAGCCCCCGCGCGGCGTTCCCTCTTCGGGCCTCAGCGCCCGGCAGCCCGCAGAGAAGCCTGATCAAAATTTAAAAAAATTATTAGGAGCTGTCACGTGGGAGCGCCGATGCTTGAAATGTCCCTGGAAGCGGAGGCCGCACCGCTCCTCAGGCGCTTTGCGGCCGGTGGTTTGGCCGCCATCCGTCGTTTATCGCTATGGCGATTTCCCTTTAACGGCTTGCTTGCCGCAGACACCTCACAGAGCGGGGTCCTTGGAGGGGCGGGGACAGCCGAGCCCGCTGTCCAATCGGCGGGGTCGGGAGGCGGGGCCATCCCGCGGAGCTCTCAGGCCATTGGCTGGCGGCGCGGTGCGCGTGACGCGAATCCTTCCAGCTCAGCGCGTGAGGCGGTGAAAGGGGCGGGGCGGGGGGCCCGGCCCGGCGGGCAGTAACGGCCGCGCGCGCGCGCGGGGAGGGGCCGTGCGCAACAACGGGCGATCCCCCTCAGCGCCTCCCGCCGCTCCCGCCGCCCGCAGGAGGATGCGCCGCCTCGCCCCGGCCGCGCCAGCCAGACGGGGGAGACGATGAGGGAGCCGCCCCGCCGGCCCCTGGCGCTGGGCTCCTGCCTCCTGCTCTGCGCCCTGCTCTGGTGAGTGCCGGCCTCTCAGCCCCGCCGCCGCCGGGCACCCGGGGCCGCGCCCGCTGCCGCGGCGGGGAGCGCTCCCTGGGCGGGATGCGCGGAGCCGGGGTCGGGAGGTGGGGATGGGGCGCTGGGCGGTCACAGAATCAGTAGGGTTGGAGGGGAACTGTGGAGATGATCCAGGCAGGGTCACCTGGAGCAGGTGACACAGGAGCGCGTCCGGGTGGGTTTGGAATGCTTGCAGAGAGAAAAACCTCACGGCCTCCCTGGGCAGCCTAGGAAGGTGAGGTGCTTCTTTCTGGGCAGCCCGGGCTGTGTTGTCGTGCGGTGCTCCCCGGGGAAGGTGACAGCTTTCGGGAGAGCGATTCCCGCTGCCAGGAGCGGCAGTAGTCACCCGGCGGTGTCAGGTGAGGGCTGAAGCCGCACACCGAGGTTCAGAGTTACGGGTGTTGTTGTCTCGCTGTGCCTTTACCGGAGGCATCCTTGCATTTCCAGTTTCAGGCTGAGCTCTTGCAGTATCCTCTGAAAGAACACGGTTCCTTATTCTGAGCCTGTCAAGAGTAGTGTTAAGTTAAACCAAGTGAACCCTCTTACTTTTGCATTGATTATGCCTCTGAGAGTGTTTTTTATAATTATTACCTCCACTGTACTTTGCTCCAGCATCCCCTGTTTACTCTCTTTTCAAATTTCCTTTAAGAGATGACATTTACCAGAATACAAATATTAGTAGAATGTATTTCTGTATGGCAAGTCCCAACCTTCTTAAACTTTGCTCCTCTTTGAACTTGGTGAGTCACTGTTTGAGAACTGATAGCCAGCTTGAGCAGCAAACAGCAAATATTGCAAACAGAATGGCCACACTCTGGTGTATTACTACATTACAGTTCCTGTAGATTGTTCAGATAGTCTCCTTAAAAAAATGAAATCATCCTGAAGTTCTGGCTTGTCTCACAGTTGGGTGAGGAGTGGGAGCCCAGGCATCTCTATTTTACACGATCAGTTGCAAATCTGGTGCTGATGCTTGTGTTACTGTGTTTGAACAGTCCTGAAGCAGCTTTGGTTCATGTCATCACGTTTTTGGGGTTTGGAGATGGAAGTGAATCTAAAAGTGCTTGAAAACTCGGTTGATGTGTTTACATTCAGCAAAATTTGAAACAAAAATCTCCTGGCTATGTGGGTTTGATCAGGTGAGCAGTGAGCCTCCTGAACCTTCTCCAGGCAGCTTTGATTTTACTCCTTGAACAGCCAAGTTTGTCCTGACAGCAGGTTTTAGTTGTATAACTAGGATTCCTAATGGGAAGACAGTTTTTGTTTCTTGGTTAGAGTGCCTTGAGGGCTGATGATCTGTCTCTGCCTCCAGGTAATTTTTTAATGGGAGGAGTTTTTAGCTTAATGATCAATAGGTGGTCAGGTTCTTAGTCTGCTGTTTCAGCAGGGCTTAATTTTGTTAAAAAGCTCAGGTTTTTTTTGGTTTTTGTTCAGGATAATTCCATATTAACGAAGGAATATCGTGTTCAGTTATCTTGTTGGAATAATGTGTTTGCTCTGTAAATCTCTGACAACCTCTGTGTTCTTCTTTGGTGTGGTCAGGAGGAAAATGGAGCTGCTCTTTTTCTTACTCTTCAAAAGGGTTTTCTCTTTCAAGCAGTGTCTTAACTGATCTCAGAGTTTGTATTGGATTACCCCAAACCTTTTAGAGTTTAAAAAAGAAAGGTTCATGTTGTATATTCACCCTGCTCACTGGCTGCTTTTTGGCTAGGAGCCAGTGGATTAATTTAAATGTTGAGGGATGCAACTCCAGTTTCCTAGTCTGCTGTCCAAATACAAATTCACATGAGAGGGTTTGAAATCCTTTCTGCAGGATGATGTTGGGACCCAGTTTAATTTCAATAGTCATGTCAGAGTTGTAATTAAAAAGTCTTGAAGTCTGTTGGTTCATGCATTGTTGGTGGACCATAGAAGTTGGTAAGTTGTGATTTAACTTTTTACTATAAAGAAAATCAGCACCTTTGTTCACTTCAGCAGTTAAGAAACTTTAAATAGCAAATGGAAGGATTTGCGTTGTAAATGTTGGCTTTTTAAATTCAATTAGTTTGAGATGTAGTTTTCAAAGGACTTTGTGCTAGTAGGAGAGAAATTTTTCCTTACAGGTGGAACTGGTGTTCAACAGTTGATGAAATGGAACCCCAAAAGTCAGGGAGAAACCCATGGGGCAAAACAGCTGCTGAAAGAACACAAAGAACACTCTGGGCTGTTTGGACTTCTAGCCCTTTTTAATCTGGGCTTTGTTTTCTTTCTGAGTAGCTGTTGCTTCTTTCTTTGAAACTAAGCTTAAAATAGGAATTTTTAAAACCTCTCATCATGCATTTTCAAGCTCACCTAAGAAAGTTGGTTGAGGGGGAAGTACTGATTAGTAAAAAATGGGGAAAAAATAATTGATTTGATACTTGAAGTGTAAGATGTCATCCTGGGCATTAAAAATGTGACTTTGTTTTAGGAGATGCACAAAAATGCAGAAGCTTGAGTAGGGATTTGTTACCCAGTGCCTTTTCAGTAAAGGGAATGTGATGCTCTTTGGATCAGTTATCAATACTTGAGGCTTTCTGAAGTTGGACCAGCCACAACTCGACAGCTCTGAGCCAGCAAGATTGTTCTAAGTTTCAAATGAGCAGGGTGGCTTTAGGGAAATGCTTCTGATGGAGGTATGGCTCAGGAATGTAGTGCTCCAAAAATAATAGGCATCTGTGCAGTTTGGAGCTTCCACTGTGCGTGACAAATGACTGCTGTTGTCCTGAATTCAGAGGTTTTCTTAATGCTCCAGTTAATCCCTTTGTGTGGATGATCATAATATAAAAAATACGTTTAAAACTTGGAGTGCTTTGTAGTTTGCCAGTATCCAGAGCTGAGTGAGTGGAGTAGGTTTAGAAGCTTGTAGGATACCAGGACTTTCTGAAGTGAGACCAGCTGTGACAGCTGTTTGAAGAGTAACCTGTATAAATTATTCTGACATCAGCTTTTGCCTGCCATAAGCTGCACTTCCAAAGTGTTAATTGGGAGTTTAATAAAGAAATCATGCATCCAGTAATTTGTCTTTCTATCCCAGAAAGTTCATTGCCATATCCTGACCTACTTAGCTTTTATTAACTGTGCTGCTTGAGTTTACAGCTGTGAGTAAAAAGAGGATGGGAGACAGTGCATGTACACTTCAGGATCCTTCAGTTGTTACTCTGTGAGTATCCTACATCAGGAAATGCCTCGTGTCAAAGTGATTTAGCAGCAAGATGTGCTGGTTTTTATGGCAAACCCCTGGCATAGGAGCTCTGACTGGAATCCCCCATGAGAGTGTACCCTGAAAATTGTAAAGGTTGGATTGGGTCAGTGGCACAACCAGGAATGAAGCCTGGGTTACCAAATACAGTGAAAAAGAACACTGGTTTTTATTTGGGTTTGTGTTTTCAGTCGTGTCTGGTTTTGAAGGTGTGCTTGTTGAAAGCTGTAATGCAGGAGGAGCTCTGAAAAAAACTCCAGCAGGCTCATGGAGTGCTGCTGCTGCTCAGGTGAGAGCTGTGCAAATCACATCAGGGATCACACCGGTGGAGCTTTTGCTGATTGAACCTTTATTTGCCTCATTATTGACTCGTGGCTCAAACCTAGAGCTCGCATCTGTTATTAGCAGAAAGGTGTGAGTGCTAGAGCTGGGAGTGAGGGGTTTGCGTTCCCTTCTGCCGCTTACCACTGAAATCCTCTTTGCAGCACAGTGCCCTCATGATCTGGATAGGACTGCAAGAGTAACTTACCTATTGAGGGACTCAGAATTTTATCTGCTGATTGTCCTCTTGTGTACTTAAATCTCTTCAGAAGGCTGATACTAAAATATACACTGTGTGTGTGCATTTTATAGCAGAAAGAAATGAAATTATTTGAGCACAGCCATAATCAGACCTGTTGTTCCAGGTATCTGATTTCAGAATGGAAAGTATGTTCCTAGGTGTGGAGTATCTTGTTTGCAAGTGTCTTTGCTCTGTGGCTAAGGCTGGGACAAAAGCTGCACTGGAACTCTTGGGCTCCTAAAAATGAAAATCGAATCTGCTTACAGCCTGCTCAAGTTGAAGGTGGTACATGCAAGCAGGGGCTCTGGTGTCTTATGCAAAACAAGTGCTTGGCTCAATCAATTATTGAATATTTTACCTTCTAAAATTATGTGAAAATCAGCCAACTGCTTTCATGCAGTATCTTCTAAAAGATTTGCCCTAGAAACTTCAAGTTTGTTTGTTTGTTATGCAAATGGTGTACTGAAGTGGCCTCTGCCCCATGATGAGGGCGCTGTGATGGTGGAGAAGACCTTGCCTGTT